AAAAAAAAAAAAAAAAAAAAAAAAAAAAGAGAGAGAAATAGGAAAAGTACATTTTGTTAAAATTCAAGGACTAAGTTGATTATTTGACATCTGTGCAGAGATGTTAAGGTACAAATTCAGTTGTAATTTGACAAAAGAACAACAACAAAATTCCAGATTTGAAGTACTTCACACTGTCAAGAAGGCAAACTGGGATGACATTTCCTAGGCCTAACAGTCTGCTTTACCTTTCATTTTTTTGAAGCTATTAAAAATAAAAGTGAACCTTGCTCAATAATAATACGAATAAATTTAAAAAGTTCTCTCATGCATCTAAGTCTTCATCTAAATTAGTTATTGCTTGCTTAAAATAATAGTGACAATATCTCCTTATGGTTTTGAGGAATAAAGAGATAAAAAGACCAAAGATTCCATTTAAACTTTTGTTTTAGAATAGCTGATTACTGAGTCAGGCTGAAATGTAGCTTGATGACAACTGTGGAAAGCCGAAAACAAGGAAAACCTCAGGCCATGTGCTGTGACAGCCTGACTGTGCCCTCACTAAATTCCTACTTGAAACCCTCACCACCAAGGTGAGGTAGCAGGAGGCAAGTGATGAGGTCCCCTGGGGATGGAGTTCTTCTGACTGGAATTCATGCCTCCCCCAGGGGCCTGAGAGAGCCAACTTCCTTTTCTAATGCAAGGGCATAGCAAGAAAGAGCCATCTACAAACCAGGTACATAGTCTGCCGGGCCGCATCTCAGCCTTCTCAGGCTTTGAAGACATGAGAAAGACATTTCTGTTACTTATGAGCTAGTAGCTGATAGTACTTTGTTATAGAAAACTATATGGACAAAGACATAATCTAAGAGCATAAGATCCCTGGAAACAAGCAATTTTCTATTTTTATTTTATAGTCAAAAAGAGAAATGGTGATAATGATATTATTCTCAAAGCAATGACTTTCAAACCTTTATCTCTGAAGCCCTGACCTTGTTCATCCGAATTCCAAACACATCATCAACTTCCTACCAACCATTTCCTCTTGAACATTTTGTCGTCTCAAATTAAACACTGCGTCAAACAGAAAAAATCCCTATGCTTCACCCTCACTCTCTGCAAGCCAAACCAGCCTCTTATTTTGATTTTCCAATTTCTGTGTGGCTGTCTTAAAATCACTGTGTCCTTTCTGTTCTATTGCTCTTACTAAAACCCTCTAGTTTAAGCTCTTAATCATTTTATTTGGTTATAAAAGATTCCTCATGGGTTTGTGTGCCTCTTATTTTCTATCTTGCGTTAAACAATGGTGACTGCCTTTGCTAAATCTTTTTTTTTCTCCTACCACTTTCAACTGTAAAAAATTCTTCAGTGCTTACAAGACAGAGTTGGAAATGAGATCCACCTGAGTAACATTTAGAATTCAGAGCTGGCTGGCTGGCTCTCACATTGTTTCCCTCTCTGCTCGCTCAGAGCGCATCCTCTGTGAGGCCATGCATCATTTCTGTGTAGTCAAGGCTTGGTACGATCCAATTCCCAGTGACCTCCCAATTCTACCTTTAGTTAAAGCCCATGAATCTTAATGCTTCTGCTAGTCTTTTCCTATAAAGCATGTGTATTTCTCTATTATACCTCTTTTAGCATTGCACTGTATAGTGATCATAAGGCAGAATGTCAACAATATTTTTATATTTAAAACATACATACAATGACTATATCTAGTGCTATATTCACATTTATCAAAATACAGAACAATGTAATTGATACATATATGCACATATAGGACTAAATTGAATATAAATGTTGCATTAGCTAATGAATGTCAAAAAGTGGTGTGTTGTGCTCTTGGTGGAATGATGCTGGGCCAGGAATCTGACAACTAGTGAGGTTTCCTTTTCTTGTCACCACTGTAAGGTTTTCAGGTGAGTAATTTTCACCTACAGTAGCTAAAAAAAGCGATAAGACTAGACTTGACAGATCCCAAAGAAACGTATTAATTTGCAAAGGAAATGTTAGGAAAAAATGATATCAACAAATTGTCATTTAAATACAGCCCTGAGATGTCAGAGACGACTATCAACATTACCATTACTGTTTCCTGGGAACGGAAACATTTTAAGAGGCTACTTGAAAGAAAGTATGGCCGAAGGCTGCCAAGGCTTTAGAAGCACTGAAAGGGGCACTGCCATGCAGTGGAGAGGCCCATCTTCCAGGACTGAGCTGAGCTTACTCTGTGCCTGCTCACTGCTGCCTCTCCCATTTCCAGGCCTGCGATCCTCCACACAAAACCAAGTGTGGAAGATATGTCACACATGGGCTTGTTAGCTAGATACACCCTGAGGTAAAACCCACAGCAAGTCCACCTCAGCCGGAGCTGCTCTGGTCCCATTAGATGGATTCACATTATATGGAAACAAGGCAGCAAACAGATTTCTTGCTTTTCCTTCTAGGTACTGTTAAGTGAAGCCCTATCTTGGATCTTTTAATCATTCCTCATTTATCAATTACTGAGAGGAATGCTGCAGTTTTCTCCCTGAAATCTATATGTACCATTAATAAAAAGGCTTCAAAATATTCAGAGCAGAATTTATCATTATTTAATTATTTAAAACACTTGCTACCAATATCAACCTGAAGATCAGTGGTTGAAAAAAAGCATTTTTTTGGGTACTGGGGAATCAAACTTGGGTTCTTGCACTTGCAAGGCAGGTGGCAGAATCACTGAGCTAAATCCCCAGCCTGAAGAAAAGTATTTTTGCCAGTTGTTACATATAAAAGAGTGAGAGTACAGTTGATGACTTTTACAACAGAAAGGTAAATATATTTTGTGTTCTAAAAACTGAAACACAGGATTTCCTTTTTGTCACTGTCATAAAAGACACTGAACAGAAACAAAACATTTTTAACTCTTTTGGGTGACTCCATTTTAAAGTCCACAGAAAGAGGAAAGAAGGTGTGAAGGGTAAGCTTACCTTATTTTCTTCTAGAAATTTCAATTTGATGGAAACATCATTGCGCATTTTATCATATTTTTCCTTATGTGCTTGAAACAGATGTTGTGACTGCTCAATTTTTGGCAAAGTGTTTGCATCACGTGGTCCGAGATTCAGTTCTTCCAAATCAGTACGATAGGCATCATATTCAATTCTGGAAAGAAGAGAATAAATGATGCATACAACAAGCACAGTGGAATATGTTTGGGAGATGGGTGGAAAAATGTAATGTTCACTCTTATATTACACAATTACATGTAAGCTCTCATACCTATTCCATACCTTATGCTTTTGAAATCACTATTTCCTTAAAAACAAAGAGCTATTGATACAGGAATGGGGGTTGGGGATAGGGTCTGGGGGGTGTGGCTCAGTAATAAAGTACTTTCCTAGCATGTGATCCCCAGTGTCACAAAGGGGGGGAGATTAAAAATGGGAGGAAAGCTGCTTTTTAATACTATTAACTATTCCTCCCAAAGTATAGCATTAACTGACAAGTAAAATTTCCAAAATTTAAAACCAGTTTAAAGAAATGGATGTTAAAACCAAACAGATGTCAAAATAAGACTATGAACAGTAGAGACTGAACCTCATGTGAACTGAGGGGCACCGATGAGGGCAGCAGAACTGAAAGGACTGGCAGCCCTGAACGTGTAGCCCAAGCCACCAGTGCACAACAGAGACAAGATGAGCCGTACATGCGATTTAGAGTCATTTAGATATTACGTTAAAATTATAACTGTGCCCCTGCTTTTAAATAGTGTATTTTTATTTTGCTCAAACGTTGAAAGGATTATCACTGGAACATGTAATTAATGTAAAAAACATCAAGGTCTTGGGGGCTGGGTACTGAGTCTTAGAAAACCACTGCATAGCCTGCACTTCTAATTCAGGCTGGCCACAGTTCAAGTCCTCAACAGGCTCGGACGCATGGACTACTGAGTGTCAGAGCTCTAGATGGACCTCTGCCATATCCAGGTGAAGAATGTGACAGTGGGGGCTACTACTGAGCACTGAACGCTTCCGTGTGAAATGAATCCCACCACCAACTGCAAGCCAGCCCGCACTGTCATGCCCTGACCCAGAGCAGCTCTAAGACCTTGAGTCATGGGACCTGCATAATGCGTAAGTACAGCGACTTGTTTGGCAGCTCTGACAGCTTAGGAGTCAGCCAAGAAGCAGCAAAACTCTCTAGTTTAATCAAAACATGAACATAGAACTTATGCCTCCAAATTATAGTTATTCAGATATCTAAAGTATGATTTATGTCCCCTAGTTGGGAATGAGAAATTCTTTAAATAACAGAAACTATTGTATACATGACTTGGGAAAGAATACATCAGCCTATGACACGTGGCTTAATATAGTTTTTTTTTTTTTTGTATTTTTGAGAGGGTCTCACTGTGTAGTCGAGGCTGGCCTTGAACTCACTATGTACCCCAGGCTGGCCTCAAATTTGCAGCAATCCTCCTGCCTCAGCCTCCCAAGTCCTGAGCTTACAGGCACGTTCCACCATGCCCAGCTACAGGCTAATGTATTCTATTCTTAACACCTAATGAATTTAGCAAACTTGATCTTTCAGTCAGGGCCCAAACAGGATCATTCATTCATTCTTTCATTGATAAAACTGACTGATTCAACAACAATCAAGTTGGCACAGTGTGCCTGAAAGTAAAGCTGTAGAGATGAGTAGCTATGTTTACCCTTGAGAAGTCTGAAGTCCAAGGAAGACAAGCTTGGAATGACTGCTACAAAAATGTCATACTGGAAGCTACTATGAAGAGGAGAAAGAAAAAAATGAAAATCAAGAACTAACGAGGTATCTAAAAAGGCATTTAGGGTAGAATTAACGAAGGATGATAAAAGCTAATGGGCTGGTTGGGGCAGGGAAATGGGTAGAACATTCCAGGAAGAAAAGAGTATGTGTCAAGGTGTAAGATCCCACATCACATCTGGAGATGAATTTAGTGTATTATGACCTGAAGCTGGAATACAATAATGGGGGGAATTCAAGTTAGACAGGGAGGCAAGACCAGAATTAAGTAGCCCACTGGCTAATGGTTCTGGTCCAGCCCAATGGGACAGGGGATGTGAAGTCACTGAAGAACTCTGATTGGACATGAAAGCAACAGGATTCAATTTGTTCAGGACACACAGATACACTAGTGGCACAGCAGTGAGTGGAAGGTGGCCTTGTGCAGAAGACGAAGAAACCAGAGGCATGGAAACCCATTAAAAAGACCAGGGACATGTGAGAAACGAGTTGACAAAGCAGCATGAAGGCAGAGGAGCTAGAAGATGACAGACACAAAGATGCAGGAGGTGAGCCTACTCGTGATGATAACAACTCGCTCCATGGCTTCTGAGGCCCCACTCAAGCTCCATGGCTCTAATGTGTTACCAGTATCACATCCTCATGTGCCTGGTTCTCATCTGTGCCTGGGAACAAAACCCACAAAAACTTCACAGATTCTAAGAAACCGGAGAAATACTAACTCTTAGAATGCTTATTATTACAGCCAAAAGCAAATGTACCAAGGACTAAAACTAAAAGGAAAAAACAGCTAAAATACATGGTGGCAAGTGGCCCTTCAAAAGCATTGGGGCACATTTCTAAAAACAGTGGTTAATGTAAATATGAAAAAGGTTATAACCCTAAGCTTATACTGCTCAAATTTTACATCAGAGTTTGCAGACGGTATCACAGTAAAACTTCCATAAGAGCTTCTGTAACACTGCTTATTACCGCCAAGGTGGGGAATGCACCTCCTCACTTCTAGGGTGCCAGTCTAGGCTGGGTCCATATCACAGTGTGCGCTGGCTGGTTTCTAGACAACACAGAACTTCTGGAGAACAGGGCTCCCCTCTGAAAAGCCAGACCACAAGTGACCTTCTTGTTGGGTTTCTGGGGAGAAGTGTTGGAGGGGCTGCTGAGACTTTCTGTGTGTGGGCACCGGAGGGCTAGGGAAATGCTCGCACACGATGCAGAACGGGGAGCACTGAGAGCCGCCAGGGCGCCGGCCTATACCACTTTTTGCGCTTATCAACTAGATGACCTCTGCTCTAAATGTCAGTAAATTCTGGGCTTGACAGAGAAGAAAATTCAGCTGCTGAGAAACTTTAATCTTGGATTCTTTTGGACTATAAGCCTCAGCAGCCAGTGTTTCAAGTTCACACCTCACCAACTGCTCAGCTACTTCCTGGACAAGATCACATGTGGTAATGTGAATTTAAAAGGACAAACTATGGGGTGAGCTGCTGCTTGTGAAGTACACAAAGAGAATGGCTTAGGTTTCCATTAAGTAACCGGCTACCAAGAACACAGAATTTATTTATAATTTTGTTCAAAAGTTCCTAACATATGCAATCTATAAATTAAGACCTACACATCACATTATACTTTAAATTAGAATTCTCATTAAAAGTTGGGCAAATTAAGCCACAAGTAATACATACCTGAAACCCCCAGCTACTTGGGAGGCTGAAGCACGAAGATTTTGAGTTAAAGGCAAGCCTAGGCAACCTAGTGAGATCCTGTCTCAAAAAGGATTAAAAGGGCTGGGGATGTAGGGATGCTTTCTTTTCCTGTACAAGGCCTTGGGTTTAATTTTCGGTTCTGGGAGGGAGATATAAAAATTATTTTTCATAATTATATGTGAACTTTTTATATATTTTTTTCTTTTTTTGAGACAGTCTCACTATACAGTACAGGCTGGTCTTGAACTCACTTATGTAGCCAGACTGGCCTCAAACTTATAACCCTCCTGGGCACTGGGATTACAGGTGTGTGCCACCACACCCAGCTTATATTTTACTTTAAAATATATATATATAAACTTTTGTAATGCTGAGAATTGAACCTAGGACCTTGTGAATACTAGGGAAGCACTCTACCACTAAGCTACAACTCTCACCCCCAAATTTTAGGTTAATTCAGTTCAAGTTTAAGGCTTGTTGATCAAGGGTAAAAGATAGGGAAGCCAAGCCAGGTGCAGTTGTGCTCACTGGTAATCCCACACATTTTGGAGGCTGATGCAGGAGGGTTGCAAGTTATGTGTCAGTCTGGGCAATTTAGCCAGATTCTGTCTCAAAACAAAAAGGGCTTGGATTATAGCTCAGTGATCATGGGGCTCAATCCCCAGCACTGACCCCCACAAAAGATAGGATGCCAAGGGGTTCTCATCTTGGCTTTGAAGCTGACTGCTGGTGAACAAACTAACCTTGTCCAGAGTCTGATTTATCTCCTCTGTCAACGAATAATGACTTAACTGATACATCTTGCTTTCTTTAAAATGGGTTAATATTTTAAAAGACATACTAGAAATAAAGCCCCAAAAGGAAGATATATGCTAAGTAATTAAAATATATTTCAGGGTAGGCAGACAATCACAAAGTAAAGATGAAACAGACAAATATAGTTCTTAGCCAGGAGATGGTGGTGGTACTTAGGGAAGAAAACAAATTTTCACCTTCAAAAGTCAAATCTAGATAGACATGGCAGTGCATGCCTGTAATCCCAGTACTTGGGAGGCTGAGGTAGCAGGAATGTACTGAGTTTGAGGCAAGCCTGGGATACATAGTGAGTTCAAGGCCAGCCTGAACGATGCACTGTGAGATCCTGTCTAATGAAAACAGAAACAAAAAACAAACAAAGTTACAAATACCAGAAGAATCCAAATGACTAGAAAACTTGAAGCTTAAAAATGACTAAAGAGATAAAAGCAAGTATATCCATTATGAACAAATCAAGACATTCTGAGTAAGGAACAAACAGAAAAGAACCATACAAAACTTATACGAATGAAATACTTCATTCATAATGAATCCTTTGGTAAATACAACATCCATGAAAGACTTTAACATGTTCCCACTGGCTTGCACTACCAGTGGTACATGTACGACTGTCCCATCAGCTGGCTTGTGCTGCTGGTGATACAGACAGATCTGATCACTTCTCCTTGTCTTCTTACTAATAAAATGAATAAAAAGCCAACTGGTGGACAGTCACGCATGTACCACTGATGGTTAAAGCCACCCAGAAGTGAGACACATGAATTATGGCCCAGTCGTGGCCATGTTAAACAGAGACTGGAAAACCTATTACTAGTAATGTTAGCAAAGACACTCCTACGAAAGATCTTTCTGACAGAATCCTTCAATAAATGCCATGTTAAACAGTTAAAAAAGAAAAGAAAAAAACATAAAAAACCCTAACAACAACAAACAAAGAACTCTAAAACCTAAACCTATTACATAAGCCACAAAGCCTTTACCCTATCCTCCCCCACCAGAAAACCAGTTTTCTTTTCTTTTTGGGGGTATTGGCAATTGAACCCAGGGCCTTTGAACAGAACTATGTCCCCAACCCCTTTCTTGTTTTTGATTTTGAGACAGGATCTTGCTAAATTGTCCGGGTTGGGCTGGAACTTGCCACCAGTTCTCCTGCCTCAGCCTCCTAGTGCCTGGGTAACAGGTGTTAAATTTTTATATCTAAGAATTTTATACATTAACATTGACTGAAAATTAAAAGTATAGGATGGAACAAATCTAGCATCTCATCTTGCTAAAACATTCAAAACTAATTTTTCCAAGTACTTATGCTTTCACTTAAGGCCTAAGAAATAGGTGCTTCATCACAAGCATTTAACTGCAAAGTGACTAGATGAGCTGGGATTCTCAGCCATTTATTACACCATCAACTAGAACAAGAGGCCAAAATACAAAACGATGCTTAAAGGCAAGGTTTGCATCTGTCTTCAACTATACTGCAAAAAAATTTTTAAAAAATACTAATTTCAAATGTTCAGAGGGAAAAAAAACCTCAAAGGGAACTGGACTGATGCTGAAATAAAACTAGCAGGGTATATGGGAAAACAATTGAGCCTGGAATCAAAAGATGAAAAAGGCTATTATGGGCTTGCTACTTTTTAAATATTTCTCAGTGTTTACTAATATGTATTTTGTTCCACTAAAAAAATGGTAACAAGATAGAGAAATTATACACACATGAAGTAGGATGTATAAAAATTTGCACATTAAGCAGCTATTAAAACATAATAAGGCAAATATTAATGTAAAAGTTGAAATGTGAAAGAGACTGAAGACAGGGTATAACCTGGATAAATGAAATCTGGGGTTGGTATCCACAACATACACCAAATCCTAGGGGCAGAAATGAGTCTGTGAATGCAGGAAACAGGAAGCTCACATGTGGCAGGACGTGCACACCGCAAAGCAGCGGTGAAAAGGCCGACGGGTGCATTCAGCCATCGAGCACGGATGGCAGGACACAGGGCTCTGCCTCTTCTAGGGAAGCTGAGCCGGGAGGTCCTCCTTCCCCTACTGCTGAGCAGGTGAGGTTTGGGTGCACAAGCGAGGTTCAAAAGGACATTCCCAAGACATGAAGCAAGCATGCAGGGCCTTCTGGAAATTACACAGGAGAACAGCAGAAGCATCAGGAGTCAGAGGCACCAGCTATGGTCCTACCTAGATAGCTCCTGAGGAATTCATTATTCAGCTCTGCTCTTGCTTGTTTCCGGAATCTTGTTCCCCCTGTTCAGGCTGTGGGCTACTCTTTAACATTCCAGGACATTCTTTTTCTGTCAGTATTGGGTAGAGTTGGTTTCTGTTGTTTGCAACCAAAAACCTTAACTGAAGTACATGCCATAAAATAAACAATACAGAGAAAATTCATACCTACCTGGCACTTTCATACTGTTTCACAGTCATTAATGTATCTTCAATTGTTTTATTCACCAAAGTGTTCACACTGGCAATAAAAAAATTAATGGCCCCAAGAAGAGTTTCTCCATTCTTCGCCAGCAGCTTCTGGGTATCTGCATTATAGCCAAATTCTTCCTAAAACAAAGAAGTTACCTTAACTTATTCAGTAATAAATAAATAGATATGACTCTGAAAATCTCAAACTTATCACTAATGGGAAAATATGTGATTTAAAAATTCTATCAATAGAAGTTACACCTTTTTATTGCAATCTTTATGTAAGAATCTAAATTTACATTATACAGATACATAATCAAAAAAGTTTAATGAACTGAAATTGTTATCAGTGCAGATGCAAGCCAAATCTAAATAATTTTTAAAACCTAAACTACTTTGTACTAGAAAGAATATTTTAGTTTCTACATTTTGTTTCTATTACACTATAAGCACAGCTGTTAAGAAGAAAAATATAGCAGATTATTAATCATAAAAACTATAACTTTTACAACCAAATTAGGTAACAACTGGTTGAAACTTTCAGACATAAAGTAGATAGCAATTTTTTGTGTCTTGACTGAATCTCCTCAATGTATAAATATTAGCAAGACACATTTCACTGTAAACTTAGTGACCAGCTTACTCCTAAGCCCAGATCTGCCTCCACACACTGCTGAGGAAAGATTACCCTACATAAGATTTGATTTATTCTCTCTGAATCTACTGGGTCTTGCTTTAGCAAATATTGCACATGACTCCTTCAGATATGGCAAAAAAGAATCCGAAATATTCAACAGTACAATCTTCCCAGTCTGTTTCATTAATTAACATATTAATCTGGAACACAGCTAGCCAAATAAAAAAACTGATCACATTTTATTGTAGGTAATATCTTCCATGTTTAGAATTCTCCAGCTTTAAAAAAAAAAAAATACACTCCTAAATTTAACCTGAACAAAATGTAATATAAAGCAGTATATTAGAAGATGAAAAGTGAATGCTATGCTATAGCTATAACTAAATTTCTGGGTGATATACCATTCAAGATTGTACCAACACTAATTGCAAATATTAGAGATATAAAATTACATAAATATATCAGTCATGCATGTGAAATCTAAAACAAAAGACAGGACAGCTGAAGATTTTTGGCACCAAGTTTCTATAAGCCAAATTATACACAAAGTCTAAATAAACATCACCAGACATAAAATAGTACAAGATATGAATCATTATGTACTATAAACATGCACTAATAAAAATAAAAATTAAAATCTTAGAAGTTTTAGAAAATGTTAACAGGATATATTACAACTGTACTTATTCCTATGATAGTCATTAAGAGGTAAAAGGCAAAATCAAAAAGGAAGAAAAATATGAAAGTTGGATTATAAATACTATTACTGATAAAAAGTAAGGAAACCTTTTCTACTCACTTCATAACAAAATATGTATCATTACACCATATCATGGAACATTTATTTCTAAAAGCTCACAACAGCCATAATACCATATTGCTAACTTTGAAAATGCCCTCTTAATTTAACCACCGGAACACAGACAACCTAGAAGATGGTTCTTTTATAAAAAAGCAAACAAACCAAACTAAAGATTAAATTTCAGTTAGTAAAATTTCTCATCCTAAATTTACACCAGAACAGTGAGCCTTACTTCAAAGCACAAGGCAAGAGTAAAGAAACACTGTTTTGTTTCAGGAATGTTAAATCTCACCTATAGTTCTAAGAATTATGTATAAAACAAGATTTTAGGGCTGGGATATAGTTCAGTGGTTGAGCACTTGTCTAGCATGTGTGAGGAACTAAGATCAATCCTTAGAACTGCAAAACAAAAAAGGAAAACAAAAACACCCAAATCCTCACTATTACTAATGTACACTCTGAAAACTCAGTAGGGAAATGTTGACACAGGGAAGGCTACTGACAGGTTGGGACAGACAACATATGAAAACTCTGTACTGTATACTCAAATTTTGCTGTAAACCTAAAACAATTCTAAAAACTGAAATTACTTTAAAAATAGTGAAGAGGCCAAATTTTATTGTGTACAGCCTAACATAATAAAAAATTGGGAAAATTTTTTGAAAACTCAACTGGCTATAATAAAAAGTAGTTTTTTATTTTAATAGTAAAGCATGAGCTGGTGATATAGCTCTATGGTTCAGTACATGCCTAACATATGTCAGGCTGTAGGTTCAACTGTCAAGAGTGTCAAAATAAATAAACAGATTAAGTTATAATGAGGTACACGAGACAGAGTAAATGATCCAAATAATCATAATACTAATGAGAACAAAATGAATATACCTATGTACATTCAGTATAAAGGAACACATTTTTTGGTATTAAAATAAGATGAAATATGACTCAAACTTAATTTAGTGGATAAGTCAATTATTTTAGTATGATCAGTTGTTTAGGGGAGTGTCACACATTATTATAAATTACCTTAGTCATTACACAGAAACTAAACATAAAATAAAGACCATTTACAAGAAGGATAGAGGTGTACTTCTGAACTGCCACTGAGGATGGGAGACTAAGACAATTCCCAGAGCTAAAATTTAGTGGTGAAAACAGCATGGTAACTGGCATAAAACCAACACATAAGACAAAGAAATAGCATAAAGAATCCAGAAATAAATCCATGCATCTACAGCAGTGGTGGTGAACCTATGGCACGTGTGCCACAGCAGGCTATTAATATAACTAAAAGCTCTAAAAGGCTCACCATTACTGATCTACAGCCAAATGATCTTTAACACAGGCACAGAAACACACACTGGAGAATGATAATCTTATCAATAAACGGTGCTACAAAAATTGGATGTCCAAACACCAAAGAATGAAACTTTATAGAACCCCATATATAAAAATCAACTCAAAACACATCAAAGACCTGAAAATATGGAACTGCTAGAAGAAAACATAGGGGGAACAGAGGGGATGAAGAGAGTGCACGGACAAGGGGAAAAAATGAGAACCAAGACCTGTCACGTAAAGGTACAAGATCCCAATGATGAATGTAACTGTACTGTATACTTAAAAATGTACCAATAAACTCAATGAGGAAAAAAATATCATTATAGGCAATGATTTTTTGGTATAAGACCTAAAAAGCAATCGTAAGACCTCAGAAGCAGGGTAACAAAAGAAAAGCTAGACAGTTGGGTTATATAAAACTAAGACGCTCTTGCACAGCAAAGGAATCAACAAAGAGACAACCCACAGACTGGAAGAAAATACTGACAAGAGATTAAGGTCCAGAATATATAAGGAACTGAACTCAATAAAAACAGTCCCATTAAAGAGTGGGCAATGATGTGAACAGATATTTTTTCAAGAAGATATACAAATGAGCAACAAGTATATGAAAAAATGCCCAGCATTCCTAATCTGGGAAATGCAAATCAAAGCCATTATGAGATATCATTCTGCCCCAGTTACAAGGACTATAAGCAAAAAGATAAATATAAAAATGAAATAAAACAACAAAACCAAAACATGCTAGTGAGGACATGGAGAAAGGTAAGCTCTTACACACTGCTGGTGAGAATGTAAACTGGTATAGCCATTATGAAACACAGTGTGGAAGTTCCTTAAGAAAATTAAAAAAGAACTACCATATATACAACCCAGCAAATCTGCTACTGGGCACATATCTAAAGGAAAGTCAGTATGTCAGACACAACAGGTCATACATGCATGGTCCCATTCATATTAAATGTCCAAAAAGGCAAATCTATAGAGAAGCACAGAACATTAATGTTTGCCAAGACAGGAGAAAAAGAGGTGTTGGGGTTTTTTTAGGGGTGATAAAATGTTCTGGAATTAGATAGTAGTGACTGATGCACAACTTCGTGAATATATTGAGCAATAAAAAAATTTCTTAAAAGGAAGCAAGTTATCTTTTATGAATGCCTACTGCTTGAATTGTACCTCTACAAGGATGAACTTTATGGTATAGGAATTATATTTTAAAAAATAAAACCGGAACACATCTGTGGAACAGACACACTTGAATACAAATTTGCCTCACCTGAATACAATGCCTCTGCCAAAATTCCCTCCATGTATATGAATTATATGATGCTCCAAAGGCTTTGGGTTTTGGACCATTTCAATTTTTCATATCAGGAATGTTCAACTAGTAAAGTCTATGTAAATATTCCAAAATACAAAAAACCTCTGAAACCTCAAACATGTCTGTTCCCATGTATTTTAGATAAGTGTTACTTTACTTATAATGAATATAAAGCCCCTAGCCCAGTGCATTTAAAATGCAGGTACTCAATAATTGCAGCTGTAATGACTGATATTAAGCTTCTCAAATACTAGTTCTTCCTTTTGTCTAACAGATCAGTTAAAACTGAATTTCAATATTTGTCACTTTAATGACAAGTCACCATCTGTACCAAACTTTCTTTGCCCAAGGTTATAGGACAGAGTGACTTAATGTTTTAAATTATCTAAGTCTTCAAGTAAGAAGTCTGCAGGCAAGGAATGTCTATACCATCTGGCTCCAGGCAAGAAAACAAAAAAAAACACTCAGATATAAAAAATGTCAAAAGATAGCAAAATAAATTCTTAAAAATGTTTTGCTGAATATCTAGAGATAAATACTGAAAAATAACTTTATTTATTTATTTATTTGCTTGCTGGCTTGCATTGCTGGGATATAACTCAAGGCTTTGTATAAACTAAACATGAATTTACAACTATGCTCACTCCCCAAGCTTCATATTGATATTAATGATTTCAGTAAAAGTATATTACAAATTCTTTCAAACAAGTTTCAATTTGTTCAACATACCTGGACTGGGCAAGTGATTTTCAGTGTCTAATTTACTTTTTACCCACACCAGAGTCATACATAACTATAATTTTTTCTAGGCTTGGTCAGGCTAAGTACTCTTTCCCTTCACTCTAATCAAATTCCTTTCCCCTACAACCTCCAGTTGTAAGGTACAAATTCTAAGGTACAAATGGGTCACTATGTTGACAGAAGTCAGCCAAGTCTTCTCAGAGTACATGAAATGTCTTAAAAGAACACCTTGAAATTCCAATTGCAGAAATTTCTCATAGGGCTTGAGGAATAGTCAATGGTAAAGCATACGAGAGTCCTCAGCACTCAACAAACACACAAAAATTCCAGTTTCATTAAAGATCAGCAAAATATAAATGTAACAAATTAGCTTGTAAAATATTTCTATTGCCATTCCCGCCATCCCTGATAGTTACTTAAACAACTTTACATGGAGTTCTAGAGACTTCAAACTCAGGTCAGCAAATGCATCTCCAAGTTGCCTCTGGGTATGTACCATCTGGAAAAGCTGTGTTGACAAGGTCTGAGCCAGTCTGAGGATATTTTCATATTTTTTCTTGTTATCTCTTAAAATATCAATCTGAGCTTCAAGTTCAAGGTCCACAGTTCTTGAGCCACGGCCTAGCTTCTCAGAGATAATTTGTCGAGTACACTAAAAGTGGAAAAATGCATTTTATTTAGGAAGGGGGGGGAATAGAACAATAGCAAAACAGTAACATGCCATTCAAAATACAGATGCTAGACAGAAGTGAGCTAGCCTAATATACTGAAAATTGTGAAACCCTTTAGAAGTTCTAATCAAAGACATTTAAGACTTAATAGCTAATTTATATATGGTTAGATGGATTCTCTCATAATTGTAGTATTTCAAACTTACTGCTTTTGAATAAGTTATTTAAAACAACACAGATACTTGGTATTGTTTTAAAAATAGTAAAACTGTTAATATAGAAATAATAAAGAATATCAGAGTTCTATTCTTTCATTGGTTTGAACTGTTTTCTATCTTCCCCCTTCAATAGTCTGTCTATGTTTGTATGAAGGAGGAGTGAAGAGGAAAATAGGGAGGAAAACAGAGGAAGCAGATGCAGAGGGATGGCAGGAAAAGAGTGGGCAAAGGGGAGAGAAGAGAGGCAGGGAAGGAGCGAGGGAGGCAGGCAAGTGGGGGGGTGTATGTGGGAGGGTGGGGATTGATTACAGATTCCTATATTCTCCTTACTTTTACTTCCACCCAGATAACGTGGCATTGTGTTATTCTCTTCTGTCAAAGAAATGATGATACAGAAACTTGTAATTTTTAAAGCATATGTAGGGCTGGGGATGTAGCTCAGCAGGTGCTGAATTCAGTCCCCAGTACCAAAAAAAAAAACCAAACCAAAAAATGTGTATCTAAATTAAGAGCTCCACATGGAAGTAAGTTTCCTAGTAATAATTATTAGCATTTCAGTATTCAACAATAAATCTCAAGAGTCATTATATATAGGGTGTCAATATACTTATCACTGGAGGTTATCAAAAATATTCTAAAAAGTAGTAAATACAATAATTTATAGAATTTGAAAATTTTATTATGTCTTTCAAAGGTTTGATTATGGAATTCAAGCTTGTTGTAAAAATTTAAAATGATGCATGAAATAAAAGGTGAATTCCTTCTGTTAATCCCACTACATAGAAACTTCTATTAACAGTTTGGTATTTATCCTAAACTTCCCCTTAATCATAGAATATCCAGAACATCGTTTTTTATGAACAAAGTATCTTGAACTTTTTGTCAATATATATATTTTATTACGGATATAGTTTTCCTCTTTAAAATTAAAGCAAGGAACCCAAGAACTTCAATTAATGCAAACATTATATGCCACAATATGAGTTAAGAGTAATAATATTAACAAGAACAAAAAACAGGATAGAGGAATTTGAGGAGGAGGGAGAGGAAAGGAAGAAGGAATTTAAAAAAAAAAAGGAACAAGCTGTGGTATGGAAATGTAACCACTCCCCAGGGCAACTATAAAACTGCAAGGACTGCAAACATGTACTAATAAAATTAAATTAAAAAAAAATAAAATGCAAGCACATTTCCTATTCTAAAAAACTAAGGAACTTCATGAATTTTTTATAAAAAGGAGTTTTCTTAAGAACAGAAATTCTTAACTACATATAAAAATGACAGTACAGATAGAGAGGCCAAAAACCACAGAAGGGGAATAAAATTATTACTTAGGAAAATGTACAAATACTTCCAGAAATAAAAAGCACATCAACAGAAAAGTCTGACTGGAGACACTGTGATTCCAAGGAGAAAAAGAGCAAAAAATAATGCCTGAAAGGGCGACACAGCACTTGTTCCCACACTTCTCTTCTAGACCGAGATTTTCCTATTACAGACATGGTGTCTTCTGTAGCAGCCCAGGTACAGTAATCTGCTCAAAGTCAAGGAGCCCACAAAAGGAGGTACATAGGCCTGGCAAAATCAAAGAAAAGTCTACTGCTGTCTGAGTGACCACTGCTTCACATAAATAACATTTATAAGCAGCAGTAGGGTCAAAGCTTAATGAGAAAATTTTATCTATTTATTTTGGTTTCCAGGAAGCTCAGGCAGTGAGTTAGGAAACTGTGAGGCAAATTAAGATGAATCTGGACAGCGCATGGTACCTAAAAGAAGTTCTAAGACTGAATCTACACAGTCTATGTTCTAATAAGGGTAATTACATACCCTAAAAGAAAATCTGGATTCTCTTTCAAAGAGAGCACTTTGGCTGCCTTCGAATAGCACTGTAAAAAGGCTGCAGTGGAAAGACATTAAAGTTATTAGCTATTTCACCACTTACTGGAATTCCAAAGGAAGTTTCTCACATGATCCTTGAAGAGTGAATTGTTACGTAAGTTGATTCTTAGTGCACAATGAATTAAATACAAACTGAAGCCTAGAATAGACTATAGAGCAAATTTAAAGCAGGAGAAATAGAACAGAATGGAGATCATTTCTAATAAGCTGCAGATCCTAATTAGTTTCTCATATAAGTTGAGAATTCATTTCAAAGGGAGAAAAGCTCAGTGGTAGAGTACCTGCCTAGCATGTGTGTGGCCCTAGGTTCAAGCCCCAGGATTACTGCCATCATCAAAGCAGAAAAATTATTCTGAGGATAACAGCTCCCCAATAAAGCGAAATTGAAAGGAAGGAAGCTAAAGCAAACTGCTGACCTATGTAGACCCTACATGGAGGAGAATGGGTGACATAAAGTGCACACAGGGTGCCCAGGGCCACAAGACATCCTCATGAGTGCTCACAGATAGACACTGTGTAAGACAGACACTGTGTGCTCCGAGCATTTACATAACACCTTAAGGAGACATTTAAATAACATCCAGGGAGACAGTGATAGATTTTAAATGGCTATAAGGTGAAATACAGAGAAGGGCAACTAAAAGGAAAATGAATACAAGAAATAGGTCAACTAATAAATGAATCAGGCAATATAAATATGCAACAAGAAAAACAGCCACAAGAGCTTAAACGATATTGGCTTAAAGATAATAAAGATTAATTTGATAAGGGTGTGATTGCTAATGGAAAATTCCTAAGCATGTTTTAAAAGTACTTTATGTTTTGGAAAGATGTTAAATAGCTCTGAATGCTGAACTGAGATTAAAAAAAAAAAAAAAAAATTTCAAAAAGTAGCCTCTGTAGCATAGGGGAAATAAAAAAGACTGCCCCCCCAAAGATAAAACAGAGTTCAATATTCACAACTATTTTTACAGATAAAAATAAATTCTAAATTTAAACGTTGTGAATAAAATTGGGCAGATTAAAATAATTTTCAAAAAGAACAATTACAGTCCAAGGCCTAAATTTAAAAGTGCTGAGCCAGGTGTGGTGGTGCATGCCTGTAATCCCAGCTCCTATAACACTTCTGGGAGGTGGTGACCAGTGAAAGGAAGTTAGATCACTGGGAGTGTCCCTGGAAGGTATATTGGGTTTCTTCCTCTCTTTTTCTTTATAGCTTTGCTCCATCGCACACTCCCACCAGGATGCTGTGCCTTGTCACTGGCCCAGATCAATGGGGCCAAACAACCATGGACTGTAACCACTAAAAAAAAAAAACCAAAAAAAAAAAAAAAATGCTATCTTTGGTTTTAGATACTTGACTGGCCTTAGGGCTGAAGTTGACAATGACTAAATTAATGGTAAATACTCTCTTTTAAGATAGTATCTGCTAGAGAATAGAAACAGAAGGAATTAAAGGTAGGAATCACAAAGGAGGGAAAGCCAAAGAGCAAGAATTAAGCTACTGAAGAGTAATATGGATAACAAGTATAGTCTTAAATTAACCAAATCAAAACAAGCACTTGCAGCACTGTCCAATGACAATGAATCTCAGCATCAGGTATAATTTGGACCCAAAAGGCTGACAAGACAGGAAATAGTCAAGTAGACCCAGTAAGGCATTACACTCTGGTGGGAAGGGCTACATTAGCCAGCTCCTAAAATCATGTCTTCAGAACTTCCTTTTTCTCTTGTGACCTAGACTGGAATATCCAAGCTGAATTCTGATAAAAAAGTTTCATGTAAAAATAAAGAGATCACCTGATGCTTCTTTCATGCAGCACTACACTGTTGCAGCACTTCAAAGACTGGTCACTTCATTAGCACAAAAAAGCTTAAAGCAGTAAGTCAATCCTATGAGAGACCAATATGGAAACTTAACGATGACTCAACCAGGTTACTGTACAGTAAGAAACGGAAGAAAAGGAACAGATATACACAATGGGAACAGCTACAAAAGGAATGAGGAAAAAACTAAACACAAGGAGGCTCAAATGAACAAAATCTTTAATTTTAAAAAACATGTTATTGGTAATTATTAGGATTTGGTTCAGAAATAAGGTCTGTGTTCTTCAGGTTCAAAATGTGTGGACAAAGAATATTAACAGCGGCAAATTTTATAAACTAAATGAAGACAGGAAAGGGTAAGTAAATTTAATAAATAAATGGAGCTCAGTCTGCCATGAAAGATAACAGAAATGGAGGGGAATTCCAAGCAGTTGGCACTGCCTCATGAATAAAGTCATAGAAGTATAGATAGATTGCTAAAGGAAATCTCTGGGTAATTTGGCATCGGAGCCAGAGATAGAAGAGAGATGGAAGAGTAAGACATAAAGTTGGAAAGGTAGACAGGAGTCAGGTTCATGTCATTCTAAAGATAATAGGGATTGGCTGAAAGATTTTAAAGAAATAGTGACTACATTAGGCAGATGCAGGCCAAGAGAATTTGCAGAGAAGGCAGGGGAGAGACAGAGAGATAGAGACAGAGAGACAGGAACTATGGTGGTGAAGGCTGGGATGGAGAAAGCAAGAAAACTGGGGCAGAACCCACAGGATTTGATGACTGACTGGATAGGTGGGATCAGCTAGGAGATGGAGCAGACATTTGTGGATAGTTAGGGAAAACACTGAGATGGGAAGAAATACACACACAGAAAGATACCTGGACCAGGGGAATCCCCAGCAAGAAGGGGCAAGCTCTTAAGACAATGCCCCTACATAAGAAGAAAAGCTTAAGTAAGCATCGCTTTTTTCTTTTGGCACCGGGGATTGAACTTGGGTTGTTGTGCTTGCAAGGCAGGCCACCAAACCGGTGAGCTAAATCCCACGGCAAGCATCGCTGTTTTAAAGATTGGCATTTCTCAGCTACTATGCTGACATGAGCTAAATGACTTTTGGAAAGATTTGTATTTCAAGACATGTTTTTACCACCTTAACCAAACCTATTTTGTGGAGGATTTTGGAAAGTGTTTTTTAAAAATATCAACTGAAAGAATAAATTCATTCCATTTGACTCTTGAGAAGACACATTTGAGATCTGCTCTGTATAAAAATATGTGCAATTCCTGATTTGCCAATCACTAGATCCACAACCAACTTGGAAGGCACAGAAGTGTGGCTAATCTCTCATCCAGTGGGCCACTCCACAAGTCTACTGTCTTATACCTGCTGGGATTCAAAGGTACTAAATGGATTTGGGACTTTGGCTTTTGTAACACATCCACTACACTGTAAATAATTTGCTTACTTGTGTCTTGGCAAATAACCATGTAATAAGGAAAATAACCACCTGAAATAACCATCTGAAGCAATGTGATTAACACTGTCAACAAACTTTAAAAACAATTCATTACTCTGAAGCAATGTAACTTAATACTCTCAACAAACTCTAAAAACCCAATTCATCTATAAGCTAGTGCTGTCTGTACAGTTAATATTTAGTTGTTATAAAATATTTAAAAAGGCCCCACCAGGTAGCTTACGACTATAGTCCCAGCTACTCAGGAGACTGAAGCAGTAGGAGCTCAAGACCAGCTTGGGCAACACAGTAAGGCCCTGTCTCTTAAAATTAAAAATAAAGTATATATTTTTTAAAAAAGCCAAAGGGGAAATATATCTATAGCAGCTTTATAATAAATTCCAAGGCAGCATTATTTTTACAAATATCAATAAAACAAACATTTCATTTTTCTAATTATATTTCCCTGTTTAGATAGTGTAACTCCTATGTATTAATATAATTACAATATAGTAATTTAATAACATACAAATAAAAATTCTTAGAACCACGTAAGATAGAAACATTAAAAAATTACAAACCTTATATGTGTTCAAACTCCATTTTCTAACAAGTTCTAACTTTTCCATTGCAGGATTTTTAACTTCATCGGCTAGAATAACTGGTCCACTTTTTGTTTGTGTTCTCTGGCCACCTGCATGATCATAAGAAAAGACAAAAAACACACAATCTAGATAAAGTAGGCAAAGAAAACAAAACAATGATGTTCAAACTAAATTATTTATGCATTTAAGAAATAAAGATTCCCACAAAGTAAATGACTAGAATATCCTAGAATTACTGATATTTTCCTAACCATTCAAAAAATACAAATATCAAAAAATATTTCTGACCATTAAACATAAATACCATGTGGTTTGGCTATCATCTTCTAAAAACAAATACTGCTGCAATCAAAATTCGTGTCTATATTAACTGCTGATTATCTCAAGAAAAATAATAAAAGTTTTATAACTAATCTTAAAGCCTGAACTATCTTTGTTGGTAAAAATTCCTATACCGATCTCCTGTTGCTATACTATGTTGCTCAGAAACACAATATAATGTCACTATAATTTTAGACAATTGGGAAAAATCATTCAAATGGTCATTAAAAATGAATGTTTTTGCCTAAGGAGATGCTACGTTTGAGGAGGTAGCTATGGGTAAGCTGATTTAAGCACTGTACAAAGTAACAAGACATTACAACATGCCCCATTACTATGTACAGTTTGTATGTTTTTATGAATCAGCTAAAAATTAATTTAAATTTTAAAAATATTACCACCAGCATAAGAGGCTGAGCTGAAATAAGACCTATATTGTATTTTGTTCTCAAGAGCTCTTTCTCAACATAGGGAGACTGTCTTAAAAAAAACCAAAAACCAAAACCAAAACCAAAACCAAACAAACAAAAGTCTTTCAAAAAAAACTAGACAGATAAAAGTCTTAACAAATGTACTGTTCCAACAACTGAGGTCTGATGGTATCAAAAGCAACTCTGGAACTATGTAGTTTCTTAGTTTCTAATAGTAAAACATTTTCTATAACATAAAAAATGTTTCATAAACATTTATAATACCAATGATTTGGTATATACACTTTAGGGTGATTTATAAATAACAATAAAATAAGGAGAGAAAAAATTACAAAAAGTGGTTTTAAAAACTCAGGGTCAGTAAGAAGTTCTTCTTACTTATTCTCATAGTCAGCCTTTAACACAGCTTCATCACAGACTAAGAATGAGAACTGTACATAAAATCAAACACATTAAAAAAAAGGAAGAAAAAATGGTAACAAAGCTTTTGTAGCTAAAAGGGGGAGCTGAAGGGTGGGGAAGGGAGTGGGGAAAAAGAAGAAGCAAGAAATATCATGCACAGGTACAAATTCCCTATGATGAATGCTATCATTATGCATATCTAAAATGTACAATACAATAAAAATAACAGAAACAGGTCACACAGATGGAACACTGTAGCTGAAATGTAAAGTTTGGTGACATCATTTGTGCCAGAAAAAATTTAAAATTAAATCAAACACATTAAGAATTTATAAAATTCTCATAGAAACAAAATATAAAAACTAACATTCCATATGAAAAAAAATGTGGAGTTCACTTTCCCATTTTTATATTCCAGCAACATTTAAATGTGGAGCAAATTAAACACAGATCTTTTCTTTTTCCCAAGTACTTTTCAATGGGTATAACTGGTGAATTACATGGTATTTTGTCTCAATCTGCAATCTACTTAAAAGTAGAGGCCGAAAATAAGAAGACACAACTGTTTCCAACTGACCCATTCCCAACTATTTAATTTTCTTTTTTTTTTTTTAAACTAAAAACAGGGCAGAGCTGCAAAGCTGGAGGTTAGGATCAAACAGGTAAGCCTGAATTGCCCAGAACAAAGAAAGGATGATTTAAAATAAACCATATTATACTACACTTTTAATATAAGAAGATAGGTTAAGAGATACCGACTGATTACTTTGAAAAGCCAGAAAAGCTATGACTAGAAAAATTATTTCCTTTCTTGTTAAAAAAAAAAAAAAAAAAAAAAGCAGCCAACCACCAAAAAAGCCAGAATAACACACACCTAAGGATAGAAAGCAAGTGATTATGAAACTCAGTGAATTAGTTTAGCTTCAGCAGCAGCAGCAGCAGCAAGAGGAGCTTTATCCAATCAGTGCAGTGAGTACCTGCAGGAACAATTAAGTCACTTCCTTGTTGAGCCAGTTGGCTAGCTGCAACCCTGCTAGGAGACATAACAGATGGCAAAGGCGGATCTGGGGAACCTAAAAAGGGCAGACATTGCACGGTGAAAATCCTGAAAATCACCTCCACATGCTATACGTTCAGAATATAGTTCTACTTAGATTTCTTTTAAAATATACTGAAAGACTAGATTAATACTAAGATTAATAAACTAGATTAAAGACTACAATTAATATATTGCTTTCTTGAAGGAAAGGACTAATAAGTGGATGTTATCAGGCTGAGTTCTTGTAAAAATTTTCTATTTGAACTATCAAAACCAAACAAAGCACCTAACTGTACAAAGAAATTGGGCAAAGATCACATCTACACAAAACTTCACCTGGACTCTATTATTTCTGAAAGCAATTAACAGAATGTGACTAAAGTTTCATACTTGAAATGATTTAAAGCTTAAGCAAATATTTCATAAATTGCTACTCCTTAATATGAAGGGAAAACTCAAGTAAAAATCCTAAGGCTCCTAAAGGATACTTTGTTTTAACATCTCTTATAGAAATGTGAATGAATTATAACCTTCATAGGAATCACAGCCATCATAGGAATTGTGGCCAAAAATTTCAAATCATACATTAAATATCACAAAGTGCAGATCACTGCTACTCATAGTGTGAATGGAAGACACTTAGAGCACCTGAAGTCTGCTACAGAGGTAAATCTCAGGGCCTGGCCCAGAGCTCCTGATCAGAAGCTGCACTATGACAAGATCCTCGGGTGCTTCATAAATACAGCACTCTGACGTTTGGGAAGTGCCGATGTAGAAGGACCACAAGAACAATGCTGGAGCTTTTAATACATACTTGGGACACAAGATCTGTGGACCATCTGTCACTCTGAAAAAGCCACTCAGGTGATTCACACACAACACCAAGTTTGGGGACCAGAGGGAAGAACATACTGTGTTTGAATGAAACCCACTGAGGTTTGAATTCTAACCCTGGGTTTGAAATTCTGGTTCTGTCTACTGCAGTGTCAGCGACGCCCTGAGGGATGGCTTCATATCTCTGAGCCATAGTCCCCCTCAGAGCAAGAGTACTGACCATGCGACACTGCTGCTGATGTCCAGCATTAAATCAGAAAAAAGGGATGATGATTAAAAAGATAGAAAAACATGAACTGTTCTTCAACGTTTAGCTGAGAATATTTTAATGTTTGTAATGTACTTTTAATTAATTCTCGCCCAGTTCTCTGGAAAATACATAATATATCAAACTCAAAATTAAGTTTTCTAATATTGATGGAATCCATATCCACTCTCCTTACTTCAAGTTAGTAATAACTGCACATATCCTACATATATACAATTCTGATGCGGGAACAGCCACTTCTAATAGTATGAAAATGTGAATTTGGACTGGAACTCACATTAAAATTCAAACACAAGTAGACCTAAATGGATTGTCATCACCTTTCAGAGTGAGACACTGTACTTGTTTTTTTAAATGGGCTGAGTTATTAAAATTAAAAACTAGAGGGGGTGAGAGGTATCAGGCAAACTCTTACATTAACCCAGAGGTCAGACCAGTTTCCTTGATGGACTCAGATTCTTGGAGTCCACACACTACCATCTCTAGTATCAGATTCAACACAGGAAACACTAACCCATAAATCACTGGATAAGCTGAAGACACTATATTAGGTTACCCAGTCCAACTGCCATTATGAACAAAGACTATCTAAACTATCCAAAGCATAGGGTTTCCATTGTAAGTATTTAATAAAAGAAGACTGCTGTAGTCTCATGTCTTGATGACTCTAGGAACAAGGCTCTGCTGTTCTAATTATTACAGCTTATTAATCTTGCATACAAAATAACACCATAGCACAATACAAGATATGTCAAAGCATTTACCTAGTAAGCATGGGGCCTTGGGTCCAGTACCCAATAGCACAAAGACAGAACGAATAAACAAATGAATGAATAATGAATTTTAAAACAGGCGAATGAACAAAAAATTGTGTCAATTTATGCAAAGTAAGCCTTAGACCTTTAAGTACTCATAATTTTCGGCATTTAGCCAACCTTTCCAAATTCCAAGTTATCCCTAAGACAGGAAAATATCAATGCTTCAGAATTAAATACAGATTATTTTTAAAGACCATGTTCTGATTTTTGTTTTCAAGGGTCTTCATATAGTGCCCAGAGAGTTTATATGTACACTGTTAGGATACTGACAAACTTCTGCCCTTTTTATAGCTTTACCGTGGTACCTTGGTTCATGAGTCTAATTTGTTCTATGATTTTGGAAAAGATGGCAACAATAACGTTTGTGTGGGAAAGGGCCACAGTTGTGTTTGTCACCTAATACAGAGTTCACAAATAATAACAACAACAAAATTCAAGCAAACATTTCTTTCTCCCCACCCCCAGTATTGGGGATCAAATTTGGGATGTTGCACTTGAGAGGCAGGCAGCAGAACCACTGAGCTAAATCCCCCACCCAAATGTTTCTGTTTGTGAAATGTTACCATGAAAATATAGAGTACTATTACGTGCAAGAGGACCAAGTATTGCAAAGGCATGGAGATTATTTCATTTTGTAAAGTTACAATGTATTATTAAAATTAATATATTTCACTGAACACTAACTATAGGTCTGTCAAGAAGATAATTTCTTTACATTCAAGTGTTAATGTGCTTTTTTTCACTCATATCAAAATGAAAAAATAGAAAAAAGTACAGGTAAGAACATGTGCAAAGAAAGCGAGTTTTTCGTTTCTACTACACACACACACACACACACACACACACACACACAAAGTGCGCGCGCACAGAACATGTGCAGAAACAGTTCACAAAGCAGGTCTAACTGCCTTTCCTTGAAAATTATCTGCTTCTAAGACTGGCTTTTGACTGTGCCTGGGAATACCAGTTTTGAGAGGATTCCCTCTATTTCTGCAAGGACGGTCTCACTCGGCCTCAACTCTTATACAAACAATGTATATTATGCAATGTGTTTTACCCATTCCTTCTAGAAGTCTAGAATCTTGATTCTGCTAGAAGCGGGTGCCTATGTGAGTAGTCTGGGTAAAAACCCTGCTCAACCAGTCTTTAAATGAGCTTATTAGCAACATTTTAAATATGTGGTCACAACTCACTGCTGGAGGAATGAAGAAATTCCCATGAGGCTTCACAGGGAGAGCCCATGGGCGCTTACACTGTTTTATCCAGAATTTGCCTCATGAATCCCTTGATTATGCTTGGAACTCTTTCACTGCAACTGATCATGGCTACCAGTGTGAAAATAAACAGTCTAATGTCCTCCCAGCAAACTGCTGAATCTGAAGCTGGACACTGTAGGTCTTGGGGACCTTCTATATAGCATGTATAACAGGAAAAATAACAGTTCATTTTCATATTTATTTTGAAATAGTAAATATGCATTTATACAAATCAATAGTTATAATCTTTGATATAATTATTTTGTGTTACAAATATTGTGTTACAAACATCTAAATATATATTATGGTATAATTTTTGAGTTTTTATATCAGTATTTTAAAAACAACTTTAAATAATGAAATTATGCCTTTATCTATTCATAAGATTATTAAAACAATTCCTACTTAAATTCAAGAAAAATGGATTATATGTATTCAGTGTTTTCTCCCAGAATTAAAGAGGTCAATTCTTGTGCATTATTAATAAAAGCAGCACTTGGTGAACTTCTCCCCTCCTCCATCCCAGTCATCTTTACAAATACATGGGCTCTTACCTTGATGGACTCCTCCTTCAGTAACTCCCTCTTTGGTACTGTCAAAGCCATGAGATATAATCTGAGTTTCTGAGAGACCAAGTCCAGATGGTAATGAACGCTTCAAATCCTTAGTAACATTTGAATAAAAGAAAAAATTTTGTAAAAAACCCCACAGCATATAACAGTACAGAATAACTGTTCCTTTAATTGCATCTTATACTCTCTTACTCTCTTCTGTGTAGCATTCCCTTATGCTGCCATAGCATTCTAAAATCATATATAAGCAGCAGCAAATACAGGAAATTTGCTATTAAGTAGCACAGTGTATGTCAAAAACAACATACATCATTATTCTGGAAGTAGGCAGCAGGCAGATATTAAAATTCAACTTAATATTTTAAGATACTGTCATATCAGAAAAATTATTTTAAGAGAGGAACAGAATTAAGATCACTAAAATGCCATGTGTAATATTTAGAAGTTGTCTGGTATCTAATATATCATAAGAAGCCTAGCCAATAAGTCAATATAAATACATCATTTACTTGCAGTGTTAATTTATCTTCAGTTTCAATTAGATAAACTGGGCTTCTCTGACTTCAATCAGGGTAACGTAAAGAAAATTTCCCTTAATTAGATATGTACTCAACACTGATACTAGTTTAAGTACAAATTAGCTTGCAATTGAACTTTAACTGTAGTAAAAGTAATATTCAACATCGTCTTATAGTTTAAAAGTAATAGAAAACAAAGAAACACAGTGTTCTTAAAGCACAAACCAAGATTAAACATATTCTAAAAAATTCTGCCCAGAACCTTGTCAATTAAATGTCAGGGCTTAGAATGACTAGGCACACAGGCCAGTAAAATCACCGAAAATGACCAAGGCTTCAGTTTGCTGCCTTGATGGGAGAAACTTCAAATATTAATAACACAGACTACAAGTTAGCATGTTTATTGTGACTAGAGCACCGAAGAAATTTTACTCAAGTGAACATATTAAATCCAAGTTCATTTTTCTATTTACCTTTATTAAATTTTTACAGAAATTTTAGGGCCATGACAAATTATAATACAACTAATGATGAAGCTAGCTATAATTATATATTCTTACCAATTCATCACAGATCTTTTAATGGTCCATAATGTTGAAAGCCTACACTAGGGGTCCAGCGTATGTAATAATGTATAACATAGTTAAGAATTTGGGAAAGGGAATGATCGATACGTATTAGAGAGAAGAAAGCCTTACCAACGTGGAAGACACAGAGTGTTGGAGAGATGGAATGAGGGAGAGAAAGGGTGCATTTCCAATCCTACAGAAAAATGTGTGGGGAGGAGGCAGGGAGGGAGTTCCTGGCACAGCAAGGGGCTAGCAACCAGGCTCTCCTGGCCGATACAGCTAAGCTCTACACGTTGAAAGATGAGGTAAATGAATTAGGAGGAAGTCAGAAAAATTACTAAGGTAGAAAACTTGACCTTGGCAGAATCAGAAAGTTGTACGTTTTTGAATAGGAGGCTTTTTTGATTTGGTAAAAGGACTGCTTTAAGAATATTAATTTAGGCCAGGAGTGGTGGCCCAGCATTTGGGAGGCTGAGGCAGGAGGAGTGCCATGAGTTCAAGGCCAGCCAGAATTACATAGCGAGACCTTGTCTCAAAAGAAAACACAACCATAACAACATTAATTTGGAACACATGTAAAAACAGTTTTAAAAAGCTGAAGGTAAGAGCAATCATAAGATGCGCTATAGCTCAATTATTCAGTAACAACAGCCTAGGATGAGAGAGGCAACCAAAAGAATGGAGAGAAAAGATAAAATTTAAGAACAATGAAAAGAATAATTAAGATACAAACATTTAATGAAAATTTAGCACATAGCCATGTGTGAAGTATAATAATAAAAGGAAACAGCCAAGACAATATATACAAGTGACATAAGAGGCCCATACAGAAGTTAATTATCAAGAACATAAATCAACGTATAAAGGTTATTTATTTAAATTACTGGTCAAGATTTTATTTTTTACAAGGCTATCTGCTCTGCTACTGAAATTAGAATACTATAGGACAGGTTCAGTGCAAATCTGTCAACTTTTGACCATCGCTCAAGCGCCGGGAGGTAGGCCCGGCCCTGATCCACTGCGGGAAGGAGAACCACGCCTGCGCCCGACCCAGCAGCCATCGCTTAAGCGCCGGGAAGGTAGCCGCGCAGGCGCCCCTGAACCCCCATAAGCAGCCCCCCGCGCCGCACTCTCAGACCTCCTGACTACAAGTCTTTGGACCCACTCTGCCAAGACAGAGGTGGTCATCAAGGGTTTTTTTCTGAGTTCCCAACTTTGAACATCTTCAAAGAAAGGGCGTGGGAAACCTGTAATAGAACGCTGCGGAGTTCAACCGTTCAGAAAGATGGGGAACTCAATCTGGACCTTGCAGCCCAAGGCCAGTCAGCGTCAGGGGGTTCAGCCATTAGCTAACTGAGATCAGGGGTCTTGCATCCTTGCTCTGTCTGAGCCATTAAATGGTAAATATACCATATTTAAAAGTGTGTTCACTGCAGACATGTTCTGGACTGCTTCTTGATTTCAATTTAATTCAAATGATTTAAGGGTGATAGACTAGTGACTACCACAGGTGGTCAGTGTCCAAGTTGTGCTTGATCTTAATGTGTTGCTGATTGTATCAGTTGGGGTAAAACATTGCCGTTGATTTGATGAGCTGTTTTCTCTGATGTTATGAAGATGAGAATGTCTGTGGGTTGTTAGAGACACAGAAGCTAGGGTGCAACTATATCAAGAACATTTGGGTGATAACCCAGAGAGTTAACCAAGGACAATCTGACAACAAAAATAAAAATGAGAAAACACGTAAGCAAGACACAAGGACAGACTTCCAGTTCACCAATGGCAAACAGTAGGGCAAATGAGGATGAAAAGGCCGATAGTGAACCACCAGGACACCATGAACTCAAAGCACAGGAAGTAACAAAACAGATCAATCAGGCTCTAGAAAAATTCAAAACAGAAATAATTTCCCAGATAACCATAGAGATAGTGAGCAAAATGGAAGTCGTGATTCGAGACTCTAGAGCAGAAACTGACAAAAAAATAGATGAGCTCAGGACCATGATAAAAGCCATGAAGGCCCAGCATAAGAAAGAAATGGAAAAAATAAACACCCAACATAGGAAAGAAATGGAATCCATAAAACAGATTCAAACAGATATCCAGGAGATTAAACACTCTATTGAAAGTGTACGCAACAGAATAAAAGAATGCGAAGATAGGCTCTCAGATATAGAAGATAAGATTGCAGTCAGTGACCATGAAAAGAGAGGTCTCTTAAAAACAGTAAGAGATCATGAGAAATCGATCCAACAACTCCTAGATGATGCAAAGAAGAATAACATAAGACTGATAGGAATACATGAAGTAGCAGGAGAAAATACAAATGACTTAAAAAAGCTGTTTGCAGAATTAATGACAGAAAACTTCCCAAACAGAGGGGAAGAATTTGACATTCAGATAACTGAGGCATATAGGACCCCAACTAGCTACAATCAAAAAAAATCTACACCTAGACATATAATAATCAAGATCCCAGAAACCCAACAGAAGAACAAAATACTACAAGCAGTAAGAGAAAAGAAACAAATCACATACAAAGGAAAGCCCATCAGAATCACAGCAGACTTTTCAACACAAACCCTTGGGGCAAGGAGAGCCTGGAATGAGATATTTCAAGTACTAAAAGAGAACAACCTCCAACCTAGACTGATGTATCCAGCAAAACTCTCTTTCAAAATGGATGGGGAAATAAGACACTTCCACGACAAAGAACACCTGAGAAACTACATGAATACCAAACCAGCACTACAAGCAATTCTAAACAAGATCCTAGAAAAAGACAATGAAGGCAACAACACCATGAGGCCCAACAGAGCAAATCAAATAGGCAAGGCAAGAAATTAAAAGGAGAAGGTGAAAAAGTAAAAAGAGTCAACAAAAGGCCAATAACATGTCAATAATAAGTCAGTACATATCAGTTATAACCAGCAATGTCAATGGCCTCAACTCACCAATCAAGAGAAATAGACTGGCAAAATGGAATAAGAAGCAAAATCCAACAATATGTTGTATACAAGAAACACACCTAGTGCAAAAAGAAGCCCATAGACTGAAAGTGAAAAGATAGAAAACAATTCTCCATGTGACAGGAGCCCAGAAAAAAACAGGGGTAGCAATCTTATTTGCAGACAAAGTAAATTTCAAACCAGAACTGAATCCAGTATTATTGATGTAAGACAGTACTGTATCATACCTCTATGAATGTAAAATATCTAGTACCTGCTTTATGATACACAGTAGGGACTGTGCTTTATCAGAGCTACATTTAATGATATTACTCTAGAATGTTCTCTTTCCAGATGATGATTAAGAGGCTAATAGAAAAAATGGTGCCAGGTACCACAACAGCAACAGAACTTTGTTGTTTGGATATTATTCTTTTCTTTGTTTTTTTTAATGGAATGTACTGAATGTCTATAATTACGTTCAGATGACTGCAGAATCTGGAAAATACACACACACACACACACACACACATATATAAATTGAATTTTGGGAAACTAATGGTGCTGCCAATTTTGGAAAAAGTCATCCCAATTTACTGTGTTGACTTGGCATTGTACAGAAATGGACAACCATATTGGTCTAGAAATGTTAATTTTTTTATTTTTATTTTTTTTTCCATGTGTACAGGGGTAACACATCGTACTAAATATGTAAGGTCATATCTACATGGGTTTGATTACAGAAACTAATAAAGTATTCTCTAAATAATGAAAAAAAGAATAAGATAAGACTATAAGAGCAAGAAGCAATTTAAATATGTTCAGGGACCATTTTCATCTCCAGAATTAGGGATTATTTTGATGTTACATCATTGCCTTTTCTCTTTTACTTTCCTTTTTAGTTTTATTGTAGGATTCCTTATTTTAAATGTTCATACAGAGATTTCTTTAACTGAAATACTGAATAGTTTCTTTGGTGGGAAAAACTATAATAGTACACAGGATCCTAATGAGACAATTAATAATGTGAAATAGGAAGTAAAGGGCTAAAGGTGTAAGGAAAGTGGGAAGGGTGGGGAAATGGTAATAAGGGAGAGGAAAAAAATATGAAACTGAAAAAATGGAAATAAAGTGTTTGAAAATGGGGAGGGGAGTGGGGAAAGGGAGGGCAGGGACAAGGGGAAAAATGAGAATCAAGACCTATTATGTAAAGGTACAGAATTCCAATGATGAATGTAACTGTATTGTATACCTAGATTGTACCAATAACCTCAATAAAAAGAAAGAAAAATAAATAAATAAATAAAAATTAAAAAATCTATCAACTTTTACAAAATGGCAGGAATACAATAAAAATGACTAGGTTTATTATCCCTATACATCTGGGACAAGGCATATGTTGTAGTGAAAATGGATACCCAGTTTGAGAACTGAAACAATCTATTTCCTGAGGATGGACAAATTTTGTAAGGTGACTAAATATAGTCTGATGCTTTTCTCTACTTTGTGGTCAGCTTTGGAAGAAGAACTGGGAATCTACAGGAACTGGGTATGTAAGACTTAAGTCTCACTTTTACTCCTGGAGCGTGAACAGCCAAGAGGCTTCCACGATGCTGGGCTCAGAAGCTCAGTGAGGCTCCAGGAGCTTGTCGGACAGCGAGAGTCACCCAGGAAGGAACACACCAGGCAAGTTGGCAAATAGACCTTTATTAGTCTGGCCAGAGGGCACTCCCCAAGCCAAGTAGCTCAGAGAGGCGGCTAGCTCAGAAACAGAGGCCATTTTATATAGGGCTGAGCGGGGGTTTACACTTAAAACTTACAGGAAGAGGACAAAGGCAAAGAATCAGTTGATCTGAGCTAGTGCTCATCAAGCATATACTTGACCGTCACGTACTAATGATCAGCAGATTGATTATCCATTGTTCCATTTACAACTTAGATTATAAAGTTCAGAACATTCAACTACAGGCAAGTAAGGAGTGGCGTGATTTGTGTTGGGTCTCTGTGTTCACTACAGTTTCCATTTAGTTTCCCAGCTACTTCAAAGCAGTTACCTAACAATTCACAATTAATCATTAGTTATCCTATAAGGGATGGGGGGGAGCGACAGTCTCTAGGTCGTTTGCTGGTCAACATGGAGTCGCTCTGGTTCAGTCAGGCTCTTACATTCCCCACTGATTTTTGGACCTAAATCAAATCTTTGATTTACTTATATCTGACTCTGGGCCTTACTAAAGGAACACATTGTAAAAGACAACAAGTTATTGCAATACAAAATCCTAATGCCATCACACAGAGTATCAGTTGTTTTACCCAGGTAATGTCAGGTAACCAACTTGTTA